GCCACTGTCCAGGAGCAAAACGGAACGCTTGGCGTCTGACAGGAAGACCTACTTACATCAGACCCAGGGGCCAGACAAGAATTCCTTTCCAATGACACATTTTTCCTTCATAGGTCAGTGGTAACCATGCGTACCACCTGCTTCAGCTTTCATAACTCTTAAGATACAAAATTTTTCCGACGTGCAATCTAATATATTTGTAATAGTGACGTTCTGTGCTTTGTTTGAGGAAAGAACCGTTTTTCCTGAAATGTTTTTGGACGAGCTTTTCTTAGGATTGAAGAGACGAGTACAAAATGTCAAAAATCAGAGCGCGCTTCACGTAATGTCGCGAACAGCCGTATCCTGGTAACCACGCGGGAGATTGCATAAGGAAGGAACGTGCCAGTGTGTAAAAGCGTGACCAGCAGATGGACGGAGGACAGCTGGACCTCAGCCCAGACTCCCAATATCATTTGCGGAAGTCTCGCAGTTTTGCGTGTGTCTACGCGTTGATGAGCGACCAGAATTCACAGTGACACTTTCACAGACGATACAGGTAATATTACGAGCAGCAGTGAACTAAGTCCGATACACAGTCCGCCCTTTAACTTAAGTCTGATGGCAGAAACGAACATTCACAAACCCAACGCGATAACCAACCAAACGGCTGATATATACACCTCCAGTCTTTTGTAACCTTCTTTACTGAAACGCCCTAAAGTTAATAACGAGTTCCATGAAGAAGAATTCGTATTGGCAAGCTGACAGTACAATGAGTTAGTCAACAAATTCTGTGCTTTTCGTAGGACCAGAAGGTTCATTACCGTGCTCAAAAAAGCCCGCCACCAGTCCCTACAGTCGGCCAGATGAATCCAGTCCACATCGCGACACTTTGTTTCTCAATGATCCATTTTAATATTATCCCCATATGTACGTCTGTGACTTCTTTTCAGGGTTTACAGCCTTTCCAATGCGTGCTAAATGATCCTCTCATCGTTGATACAGCGTCGAGTTCTGAAGTGGTCATCGTCGTGACCCCTTTTAAAGACACCGATTATGCCAATCCTCCGCTCCCAGTCAGACTTCGTAATGATTTTTAATTAGCCACATGCACGGATCACCCAGAGAAAGGTGGCCTGCATATGACGGTCGCTCAACAAACGCACTTCCGCGACTTTGCACTGCATTGTTTTAATATTTCGAAA